TATTCACGTTAATGCTATTTGTTGCAGTAATTAAATCGACGGTACGTTCGATCGATGAACATCATCACTAGGACGAGTGACACTCTTTGAGAATAAATTGACTTGGCACACCGCGACCGAGAAATATCGATCGCTCCGGAACACTCACCACTGGAAAAGACGAGCATTATTCTTTATGGCATCGTACGTGCGTCAATTACGTGATGCATTGTATATCAATCATACACAAACGAAAGGAGAGACGATCGTTTAGTACACGCTACACGTGATATTAGAATCCGTCTTGATATATCGTGGTGTTTAGATTGGCACTTTTTACAACGACCTTCTGCGGAACGTCGTTTTTGCAGTACAAAAACTTCACTCTGCTTTTGTTCTCTTTCTTTCTTTCTTCCTTTCTCACTTTTACACACGTACACATACACACAGCTACACACAGCTATACTATAACTGTACGCGTATGTAAACACGAGAAGACAGCACTTATAGGATATATATATATATATACATTGTTATGTAGCTTCGTAACTATACAGAGCATTGTGCTCTTAATTACAGTATATATACAGTATATAATTTTATGCATGTACGTGACGATCCTGTACATGTCGAGTTTGGGCACTCGTGGTCTCTTTTATTTACGTATAAACAATTATTCGTAGACAGTACACGAGCAACGCGAGTATCGTATCGACGAGCAAAGTTCACTCTGGTCATTGTAATGTTAACACCGCATCTAAACACCAAGCCAGCATAACGCTTGGCCTCCTACCGCGCTCTGTGTGTCTACCACGTTAGCAGTTTGTCTCTATCGTATTTTCGCATCTATCGAATATGCAACGTACACGTATGTGTGTGCGACGTATGTGCACGCGACAGTCAGCCTCGGTCAGCCGCACTCGCTTCCGAAGGATGTGAAATGGTTGAGTCTGCGTATCTACGGGTTATAGTGTCGCTCTGGCGGGGTGGCGATGGCTAAGTATTTAATCACGTGATTCCCCCGTCAAAATAACCTACACGCTGCTTGCTGAGCACACCCGCATGGATAGAAGTGCGTTTATTCCGCGTTCATTGTCAGGGCGAATTTAACACGGGTCGCACGCTTCGCGCTTTCATTATCTCGATAATATACATAGTTTATTATAATATATTTCAGATAAATCTGAACAAACAAAATAGAATATCTTGTATAAATAGTACGAATACTATTATCCTTTGCTAATATAAATAACACAGAGAAAAAACATAAGAAACAGCTTGATACTTTTATTGACAACATAAATTTGTTATTTTTATGTTTTAAAAATTTTGTATTTCAGAATGTTTCATGTAATACATACAATATGTACATGCTAGCTATAAGCTTTTTCCATTCCAGTTTCTGTATGTATGTAAATCTTCTACAAATAACATAACAATGTCAATGAAAGATAAAAATATTTATTTATTATTATATTTTATACACGAACTCTACGTGATCTTTTTTACCCTTTTATGCTTTACTTTTTTCTTATGTTTTTTTTTGTTTTCCTTGATTGGTTGTTTCTTCTTTTGTTCCCTTCTCAATTTTTTCTTTCTTTTCTTCGTTTCTTTATCCAAAGATACATCAGATTCATCAGAACTTGAACTACTTGAAGAGGTTGAAGATGACGACGAGTCACTTGAACTAGAAAGAGAAGAATCTGCAGAAGAAATCTCACTTGCACTCTCACTTTTTTGCTCTAATGCTGGAATTGCAACAGGTTTTGGATGAGATTTCAAATGCTCTCTTAAATCATCTGTGAGACCACCTAGTCCAATGGATGTAAAAAAATTGATTGCAAAACGAGTATTTTTAGGATCATCTCTGGGAAATAATCCTTCAAATGCATGTTGCAATGTAACATCTTTTACACGTTGGTTGAGCTTAGATAATCCCATATATTCAGAAAGTTCTTGAAATAAAATTTTAATAAATATTCTATTGGAACTGGTCGTATCCTCCTCAGTTAACTTTATACAAGACAATACTTCCCACGATATAGAATCAGTAAATAGTAAGTGAGCGAAAAACTTTGATACATTACGTAATTTATTTGTATCTAAGCGGTGTATCGTATGATATGAATCTTGAAAAATTTGTTCAAATGGCGTGACATACATTTTATTAATAGCACAAAATCGACCAGCCAATAATCCGAAAAATTTTTCGTACGTTCTCATTTCTGCACAACAATCTAAGAACATGTGACAGAGTTCAGTTTCTTGTCCAGGTTTTAATTGCATTTTCATTAATTTATGCGCACATTCTTCAAAATCGAGTGACGAATGTATTGTTAGATATATCGTTCTTCTAAGAGCAGTTAAATTTGTTTCTGTGTTATCTACAATTACGTCTTCTTTTCCTTCTGCTACAGCAGTACTACTATCTTCGTCAGAGCTCTCTTCTTCTTCCTCTTCTTCACTTTCTGAACTACTAACGTCTGAGCCTAATATTTCTTTACTCAATTGTTTATATTTGTCTTCATTATTAACATATTCTGCATCAAACTTAAATACATTCAATATGTCTTGAGAATCTGTTGCTTCATCTAATGTTATTAAATGAGTAAACTGATTCTCTTCTTCCACAAGATCAAGTTCTTCTGGAACAGCTTCATGATCTTTAAACCCATCCTTTCTGACTTGAAACATAACTTCAATCATATATTGTACACGCTTATCCAGTTGTCCTTCGTGTAATATATTTCTTAACATTTCAAATATAGCTTCAATACCCTTTCTAGAAACCTCTGTTAACTTCATACCGCATTCCTTCAAAAATGCAATGGCCACTTCTACTGAATCATCTGTTGGTGTTTCTACTAACAACGTCAAAATTTCCAAAGCTACAATTTCATGTGCTACCCTTTGATTTACTAAATGTGCTATAAACGTCCCAGAAGATATACAGAGAGGCTTGTCGTTTCTTCTAAACCCTCGTTTAAACTGTATTACTAGACGTTTTAATATTAATTCTCCTATATTGGGGAATTTAGAATTAATGATCGCAGTGAGGGCTGCATAAACAGACGTGAAGGTTGGTGATGCTGCTTGAGCTTGTATGATGGATCTAGCAAGCAAACCTCTACCTCTGACGATATTTTCTTTCAAAAGTTCCCTAGTTATAAGTCCAATATTACTCACGTTAACTTTGTTGATGTAACCGTGTATCGATTTTTTGAGGGCTTCCCATGCAATACGTTGATATGCAGCCCCTGATTTATCAGTAATCTCCGCTTGCATTATACGCAACTTTGCAGGTGGTATATAAGCACCACCTGTTCTTGATGTTAACAATTCAACCGTTCGGTTTTGTCTTTCAATTGCTTCATCAGAAGCATTTGTTTCTTGCTTTTTCTCCATTTCTTTATCTGTAGCTTTATCTTTTTCCAACCTCTTCCTATTCTCCTTTTCCTCTTTGTGATCTTTCATTTTTCTCGACTCACGTCGGTCATATGACCGTTCATCTCTGTTAGCTTCTTCGAGATCATGATCCCTGTTGAAACCCTGTTGATCCCTAGAAACATTCTTTTTACTATTTCTGTTATCGTAATAATAATAGTCTCTGTCGCGTTCTTGATCACGATCCCTAATTCGATCCCGATCCCGATCCCGATCCC